AATTTTTTTGGAGGATATTCTTGGATTGCTTAAATATATGCCCCAGTGTGCATACATTGTGACTAGCATAGAATTTCATGTATAATGGTAAGTCGAGACATATGTGTCATCTACATAATAACATTAGATAACTGATCTCAAATGGAGTTATCTCTATTAATTTTGTAAGATCAAAAGGTAACATCGTAGATCCGCTAGCCAAAGGTTAAATCATAATCAAGTTGAGAAAACATCAAAAGGAATATGACTAATGCTCGTGAAATTTAAAGGTTTTACGTGAAGGAAAACCCTAATAAATTGACTTGAGATCCTAAGATCTTGGTTAAAAGGGACAATCAAATTGTATAAATTGTGTACGGTCACTGTGGGGGTCTATCATCTAAGTTTGTTCCTATTATGTAAATAGTGATCAAAGTGGTACAGGCTAAACAAAACTTTTAATGACCATTGTGTGCTTCAGTGAACCGAGCAACATAAGTCACATATGTGAGAGTAAAGTGGGGTCGCTTTAAGGAGACTATTGGACATAGTTCTTTCAAACTCTTATAGAACCAGGCGATGTTCATGGCTTTGAAGACATACCTATGAATTCTTGTCAGAGAGGTAGTTGTGCGAAGTATATCATCGTTTACACAAACGGTAGAACAGTTCAAAGACATCACATCAATTAGTTAGCTAGTAAAGTAAATATACAATTACAAGAGAAGGTTCAAAGGATGACACATATTTATCCTATGCAACTATCGATCGTAGAGTCTATCACTACATTGTACCAAAATGTTTTTGATAAAATCATCAATTTTATTCATATGGAGATTATTGAAAAAGAGTGAATTTCATTGATGGATTTAATATTTAAATTAAATTCATATTCCTTTTAAATATTATAAATTAAAAGATATATATCTCTTTAATTTGAATATTAGTAGGATAATTATCCTTTTTGAATGTGTCAAATTAAAAGGTATTTATTATTTTATTTAACTTTTAATATTAAAAGATAATCATATTCTTTTAAATATTTTAAATTAAAATAACATTTATTTAGGATTAAATAGTAAAATGTATCTATATCTTTTAAATACTTCAAATTAAAAAATATTTTTATATGCTTAAATTTGAATATTAAAAAATATATGTTTTAAGTAAGTCTCTTGTAGAAATCCCCTAAAACTACTTAGTTAACCTACTAGGTTAAATATAAGTTTTAACATCCGAAATACAAGAACTTCTAAAATCTTGAAAAATACTTTCTTTCCTTCTCTAGTTTTCTTGTGATAGGCAAAGTCGAGAAATAATTTGTGATCTTGAAAGTTTTTGCCACTGTTCGTTGATTATCTAGTTATTGTATCCTATGAGACAAACGACCAAAAGATCTCGAACACCAAAGAATAACTGAAAATTTGTCTTAAGAAATTGTGTATCAACATATATCAATTATTTCTAATCAATAGACCAATCGAAAAAAAGTTTTTTTCTTAGTGTAAACTATGTCAATAGTCTCCTATATTTTTGGTCTGATCGACTTTGGTCACCGAAAAAAATTTAAATGGAAATGGTCACTACAACTATCAGTCTGTCTGATTTAAGTCCATAATGTTACTACTCCTTCCGATTTAAGTCTTTAATGTTATCGGTCCGTTCGATTTTAGTCCCTCAACCATGTTAGTGACTTCAACAAAATGGACTTAAAATAGAGGGGGTTTAATGAAATTAATAGCAAAAGAACTTCAACCGGACGGATCGATAATGTAAGGTACCATTTCCCCTTAATTTTTCTTGATTACCAAAGTCAGTCAGACCGAAAACAAAAGGCTGAACATCAAAATCGATGAAAAACAATAATTTAAAGGCTCAATATCTGCAATTGTTTTTCCTAGAATTCTTGAATGATATACCACAGTTCATCACATCTCTGTTGCATTCAAGTCAATGCCACACAGTTCATAATTAATTTTCTCCTGGTAAGAGATAATCCGCCGACCCCTGTGTAAACCTGTCTCTGATTAAGATGAAACGAAAAAGCATGTTCCGGATCGAACTCATTCCCGGCCATAGGAATTATAGCCATTTGAATTAGACATGTTGTTCTGAGGCGGAGTTCGTTCAGGCCGAGGTCTTGCATACTCTGCGAATATAACCCAACCGTCGAGGAACTGCAATGGTCCAAAGGAAATCAGTTACCAGGATCAAGGTAAGATGGGAGGCAGTGTATGCAGATATATCAGTTTCCGCATTCTATCATCATTCATCGATGATCTAACCTGGAACAGTTCTATCAAAGCAGTTTACATATCTAGTTTCGAAGAAACTTATCATCATAAAAGCAGTTTACATATCTAGTTTCGAAGAAACTTATCATCATAAAAGCAGTTTACATATCTAGTTTCAAAGAAACTTTTGATGGTAATTTCTATCTAAAACGATTCTTCGAGCCAAAATTATGATCTTAACACTTCAAATTGAAACAAAGAGATCCGGAAATGCAAGAATGAACACATAAACTTTCCTCAAGGAAATGAACATTTAAGGAAGTAGAGCGAGCTAACCTTTCCATCCATGCCCTCTCTGCCTTTCTCAGCCTCTTCTATGGTGGCATATCTTACAAAACCAAACCCTTTAGAGTATCCCGATACTCTATCAGTCACCACTCTCGCTGTAGACGCAAAAAAGGACCAATGGTTATCAATATCAGAAAGACAATTTCCGAAATTCTTTGAGCTGAGGAAGACAAACCATCAACTACCCGGCCAAATTGAGAAAACGTTTCTCGGAGTTTCTCCGAAGGAGTGCGCTTGTTAAGCCCTAACAAAGGAATTCAAATGATAACTTACATCATAATATGAACCAAATAAATAATGCTCAACCAGTTCTAGATTGATAAACTACTTTGAATGAATTAAAGAGAGACCATATCAATCCTTCCATGTTTTCATTTTATGACCACTTAAAATCAAACCACAGAAAATATCAAAATTTTCTTCAATTTTCCCACATTTTCTAGCAATCAAACTAGCATAGTAACCTAATAAATCAGCATGTAAGCAAAGATTATAAAGAAACCAGAAAAGAATCGGAGTCACTAAAGGAAGCCCTTAAAAAACACAGATTGTTTGAGCAATTGAACGAGCAAAAGAACCCAACAAATCAATATATAAACACTATTTACCAAAAAAAAAGAACAGGACAAAAAAATCTAACTCGTTAAAATGAAACAACTTTTTTCCTCAATTTTCCAGCAGTTTCCAAGCAACCAACCAAAAAAACTTTACATATAAGCTAATACCAAAACAACTCATAAAATAACAGGAGAAAACATGAAAACCATGATGGATATAGGTGGGAAAGAAGAGATACGTGCCTGAGACAAAGAGATTGGTGCTTGGAGGCGCTTGCTCTCGACCAGGGGTTCCCTCGCTGTTCCCCATCGCTGCAATTGGTGGCGGCATAAAGGAATTAGCCGAAGCTGTCGAGCACAATCGCCTCAATCCCGGTAAAGCTGAAACGGCCACCATCGATCTCGTCGCCGCCGCCCTCAAAGCCATGGAGGAGATATTAGAGGGAATGGATAATCAGGGATTAACGCTTTAAGCTAAAACCTCTTCTGTAGTGCGAGAAAAATAGGGCAAAATCACAATCGACTTAAAAAAGACATGATTTAATAAAAGGGTAAAATACATATTTAATCACTTAACTGTCTTCTCACTCATATGTTGGTCAGTAAAATTTAAAACTTTCTAATTTAACCATTAAACTTTTGAATTATTCATGTTTTGGTCACTCGACTATTTATCTCTTTATCTGACTTAACAATTTTAGAATCAGTTTGGTAAAGCTTTCTAAAAGCACATTTAGTTAAAAAGTTTATTTTGACCGTAAAATTAATGACGAATGAGTAAAAAATGAAAAAAGAATTGTGGTAGAATTGGTGGTTTCAAAACAATAATAAAAATTAGGATTTATAGTTTTTTTCATTTTTAACTTTGTGTTTGGAATCAAATTATAATTTTACCTTTACTAATGTATGGGCTCCACTCAATTATATATTTATATTTTATTTTAATAATGTAATATTAAAATCCTTAAAAAATAATTTATGACTTATAATAATTTATTTTAATCATTTAAAAATAAATATATTTTATAATTTATATATTAACATATTAATAGTGAGTTATATAAAATATATTATTTTTATTTTTATATTTTATATTTTTGTTATAATTTAAATTGATATAATTCATATATAATAATATTTTTTAAATTTATTATTGTTTAAATTGATATGATTTATATATATATATATAAGTTTAAATATAATTTAAATGTATATTTTTAATTTATAACATAATGTCTATAAATGGACATTTTATCTTTTCAAACTCATTTTTTAACCTTACTCCCAAACAATTAAATTTTAAACTATAATTTTATATATCACTTTTAAAAGTTAATTTATATTACAATTCCTGTTCATCTCGATTCCAATCAAGATTCCAAACACAATTCATCTTGATCAGTTACCGTGTCAATCATTGTCGTTACCGACGATTAGAACTCTCTATTTTAATCCCTTAAATTTAAATTCGACATTTTTTCCGCTCAAATATATTACCTCAACTCGAGCAACTGCCCCTTAATCATTCACGGTCCATCTTTCATCACCATCATTCATCATCCTCACCAGCAATTGGCACACTTCTCCCACACCCACCAACAAAATCTATAGCAAACTTTAAGCCAAACACAACCAAATGTGAGCAATCCTAGCTAACAACATGTAATGACCTAAAATTTTAAGTCAACATTTAAGAATTTAAGGTATATTTATCATCTTCCCCTTGGAGTTCAGGGTTGTGTTAACTCTATCGTGACGATGAAAAGTGAGAGAAACTCTCAACGCAGAATATAATCTAACTTGATCAAATGATTTTATTCATGGATCATTTAAAAAACATGTTGCTCGTAAACAATATTGCAGAAACGTAAACACTGATTTGATTAGAAAAGGAGGTCCAGGATGCTCGTAGCATCCTTGGTGAGCCTAAACAGCCCACTATTAACTTGCGATATCATCTTCAATCCCTGTTTATCACACTCGACGACAGCTTTATTGACGGCCTCGACACTCCGATACGATTTCTCGAACTCGAGCTTATCGAAAGCCTGCAGGCCTGCCTGGATTTGAGGAACACTGGCATTGTAAGAATCCCGACAGAAGACGAGGAATCCCCATGTCAGATAATCCGTCTCGTTCAACACGAACTTGTTGACAATGTTCAAGGTTTCAATCAGTTTGGATTCTGATTTCTGCACAGCAATCCTGGTCAAGCCCGTTAAGTTTGCATTGAAGCTGCTGGGGTCTGACTCCAAAGCTGAGATGCATTCTTCAGGGTACTGTGTTTTCTTGCAGGTCGATTCGATTAGGGCCTTGCCTGTTTCTTGAGCTCCAGTTCCATGGAAAGATCTGTTGATGGTGAGAAGAGAAATTAGGGTCATGATGAGAAGGGTTTGGGGAGAAAGATTGATACTTTGATTGGCCATTTTGTTTGGTTTGTAGGAAAATGAGAATGGAGAAAGAAATATAAAGGCTTTATAATAGGGTTTCTCATAAGAAAATATGTGGAATAAGATTTATACTGTCCGTAACTGGTGGTTTTGACCTTCGTAATTAATGTTATCGTTGATATAGTAATTGGATAATCTAATTTAGAAATTAATTTGTGTAATGGATTCTATGTTATCTTAAAAATCTCCTTGATCTACTCAAAAACAGAAACCAAATATTCAAATTCCTTCACAATTCAATGCTGCTAATCGGCAACTCTCCGCACGGCCAACCGAACGGATATAAATAAATAAAACATCTAATCCGATAAATTATTCTTGAATCATATTCACAAAAGTTAAACGGACATGATGACGAATATATAAACAAACATGATTGTGAAGATATAAATGAACCAAATATGAATACCTTCACAAATCAACACCAAACATGCACAACTTCAAAAACAAACAAACAAACATGATTTTAAAATTTTAAATAAACGAACACAAGTTGAACATAAACAAACACAAACTTATTCGTTCAAAGTTTAAACCCAATTCATTTACGCCCCAAATGTTAATGTTCATCCTCATTATCATTCATCTATAAGAGTATAAAAACCAGAAGAAGTTTTGAGTTTGTAATATCAGCAAATTTACCTTAAAGTATGAGTATGAAAAACTATATTCTAGGCTCGTTTTAGAAGAACAACCATAATAACCATAACTGTCAATCGAAACAAGTTAGTTCCGATTGTCTTATCCATTCCTTTCGGTCCATCGTTTTCTTTTGCCTTTTTTTGCTGGGGGTAAAGAATTTCTCGATATCTTTCGAGGAGTTTCCTGGATTACCGTTGGATATATAAGTTGAGTTTGAGATTGAAGTCTATTTTGGTTTGACTCTAGTTTTGATGGTTCCTTACCATATGACCCTTAAGGAGCTTAAGGAACTGAAGGTCCAATCTAGGAGTTATTGGATAAGGGATTCATTTGACCCAGTGTTTCACTTCTCTTTGTGAAAAAGAAAGATGGGACATTGAGACTCTGTATTGATTACAGGAAGATAAACAAGCTTACGGTTAAAAACAAATGTCCCCTGCCTAGGATCGATGATTTGTTTAACCTGTTCCGAGGGGCTACCATCTTTTCGAAGATATACTTGAGATATGGTTATTACCAACTCAAGGTGAAAGATTCGGACATCCCCAAGACTTCTTTTCGTACTTGATACGAGCATTACAAGTTTCTAATGATGTCATTGTGTTAACTAATGCCCCTGTTGCCTTTATGGATCTAATGAATTGGGTATTTCGACGTTATCTGGTTTAGTTTGTGGTCCTGTTTATAGATGACATATTGGTATATTCTCGGATTGAAATAGAGCACGATGAGCATTTGAGGATCGTTATGTAGACTTTGAGGGAGCATAAGTTATTTTCCAAATTGAGCAAGTGTGAGTTCTGGCTCAACGAGGTTGCTTTTATGGGGCATATTGTATCTGTTGAGGGTATTCGAGTGGATCCAAGTAAAGTTTAGGCTATTTTGAACTAGAAGCAACCTAAGAATTTCTCATATATCTATAGCTTCTTAGGATTAGCTAGCTATTATTGTCGTTTCGTCCAAGGTTTCTCCATCATTGCAACTCCTCTAACAAAGCTGATGAGAAAGGACATTCCATTTGTCAGGTCCGAAGCTCAGCAGTCCAGTTCTGATAAACTAAATATTGTTTTTACTGAAGCCCTAATATTGATTAGCATGATTCTGGGAAGGATTTTTTAGTTTACAGGGAAGTTTTTCACTCTGTACTAGGATATGTTCTGGTGTAAGATGGAAAGGTTGTGGCTTAAGCGTCCCGTCAGTTAAAGCCGCATGAGCGCAACTATCCTACCCACGACCTAGAGTTAGTTGTAGTGGTCTTTGCTCTGAAGATTTGGAGACACCATCTTTATAGAAATATACAATGATACAAAATGGAGAATAATCGATCCTTCTGATGCCAAGTCTAGTAGCCTACTGTCGGATAATATCTGAAAAGTTAAAAATTAAAGAATAAGCTAAAAATTCCAGTTTGCTTCATGCGGTATATAAAAAATACAGATAAAAATTTTGGTAAAATTAATTATAAAATAGGTTTGAAAATATGAACATTACCCCCATGTGAACACCAAAACGTGTAGGTTCCCTTGAACCATAACCCACTTGTACACCCGGTAAGGATCTTATACTTGTAGCATAAGGGCCTGCAATAAGTTTTTACCCTATGCATAAAGCAGAGGAACATGTGATAAGGTCTTACAAATCATAGACTAGGCATGAGATACTTCCTCCAATAATACCCCCAAACATAGCAATTATGCATGTATTTAAGTGAAAATAGAAGTTTAATTTATTAAAACATTAAAATATGACATATTCCAAAATCATATAGAAAAATAAGATAACCAAAGATCATGTCAGAAGTATACGATACATCAGATATCATGTAGTTAGAATATTTAACATAATCAGAATTTTAAAATTGTTTAGGTAGATAGTTCAAAACAACAATGTAAAACCAATAGAAACACACTTTTACTGATATAAGAAGTCTTGGACGGTAACCTACTCTCGGGTCTACCTAACACGGTCGGTAACAGCGTTAGATCTTATGAGTCGGAAAAACAATACCAAAATTTTAATAATAATTAAAAAACTATAAATCAATTATTTACGAAAACATACGAGTAGCTCTCGAAGAACGCATATCGTATTGATCTACCAGGCAGGAAGCATCAAATCTAGTCGACCCTCGATCAGGGGAATCACGAGTACCTTCATGAAAATATAGTCACATATTAGATCCATACCCAAATCCTAAATTACTATGTATAAATACTAAAAATACTAAGCATTTTCGATTTAACGGGCTCGAATTGGGGCTGTCATATCAAAATTTGGCAAAATGGGCCGCAAAATTGGACTCAATACATCGAAAAACATCAAGAGGGAGGTTTTCCAAAAAGTCAACACCGATCAATGGTCAAAGTCAACATCGGTCAACAACGTCAGTCAACGACGGTGGTCAATGACAATGGTCAATGGTTTGGTTTGACTGATTCGGTTCAGAAATGGGTCGGCTTGGGTTTGGATTGAATGGGTCAGACGAGTCAGTTCGAGCGATCGGGTCGGGTACAGGTCAGTGGGTCACTTTAACCAATTTCTAAAAGCCCACCAGGGAGGTGGAGAAGCCCCACGTGTAACGACAGTGCATGAGGATGCGTGCGAGGTCTTTGGGTGTCTGAAAATTTTCTAAAATGTTCTACAAAGCATTTTTAAGGGTTTTAAGGCACTTACTAAGCTAGGTTCCCAATAGAGAATGATGAAGAGCTCGATATCGACTCGTCGAAAAATTGATGTTGCTCACCCCTCCACATGCCGAGGACGATGACTACGAAAAGGATACTGATGAACTCGGGGTGACACAAAGAATACAATGGTACGAGAGATGTAGCAAACGAAGCTACGGTCGACAGCAAAACATCGTTTAAAGATTTCCTGTAATAAGTTTCTAAAAAAGGAAGGTTGAAGATAGAGATAAATTTTTGTTTCCGGAAATGGAAACCTTCCAATTTTCGGGGCTTCTAAACCCACACAAAAAGGGAAAAGGGGTAAATTATGCCTTAGGTCCTTGGGCTTTTGGTTAATTTTTTATTTGGGTTCAAATTTCATTAAAATTTTATTTTAGTCCCAAAATTTAACCAAAATTCAATTTAGTCTCCAAAATAAAATTAAGAAAAATTTTTAGCCGATATTGATGTGTGGCGTGATTGTTTACTATTTTATTTGCTGAATTCATACTCTTAAGCTAAACTTAAATTTTAAGTATATTTGAGTTTGATTAAAATTGATTTTTTATCATTTTAATTTGATTATAAATTTATATTTAAGTTATTTTTCTAAATAGTATAAGGTGATTACAATGTAGTATATGTTCAAAATATTTTTAACTATTAACAACACACATATCTTACAGACAAGCTGCTCAAATCTAGAACTTTTTGGGATAACTCTTCTTAACCATCGAGGCCACTTGATGAGTTCATATTTACATTTTAAATTTAATTCTAAATAAAGTTATGCACACAAATAGATAAAACTATTCAAACTGAAATTACTTAAATATTTTTTTATTGAAACCGTTCTTTGAGTTCAATTCAAATTAAATTTAAGTCAAACTTAATCACAAAAGTATTGGGAAAATATCTATTAGATAATAAATTTGGAGCAATAATTTAGGTACTCTTGTTTACCCAAATCAATCATTGTAAAAGAGAAGTGATTCTAGTTTAGCCTTAGAAAAATTAGAGTGGGTCTATCTTAGTCATTGAAAAGATAGAGTTGTAAGGTTATACTTTATCCTTAAAGGTAAGAGCAAGTTATTGAATTCGTTGAAATCTTTAGTGGTATAAAGCTAAGGTAATGAATATAGACTTTGGTTGAGAAAGTCGAACCACTATAAATTGATTTGTGCAAAAAAAATTAATATTTTTTCAAGTTTCCACCAAACTCTATCAAAGTCAATTCACCCCATTAACGGTTTTCGATTGATCGTTTCGAGCCTAACACATACTCTAAGCTATACTTAAATTTTAAGTATATTTTTTTATTGAAATTTTAAGTATATTGAGTTTTATTTAAATTGATTTTTTATCATTTTATATGATTATAAAATAATATTTAATTTTTTTATTAGTTTGAGATTATTAGAAAGTAGTATTTATTTAGAATTTTTTTAATAATTTATAACACACTTCAAATGTAGCTGTATGAACCTATAACTTTTAGAGGACACTCTCCTTAACTATTATGATCATGAGTTCATGTTCGAATTTTATTTTAAATCTAAATAAATTTATGCATAAAAGTAGATAAAATTGTTTGAAAATTACTTAAAATAATATTTTTATTATTATTGAATTCATTCATTGAGTTCAATTCGAATTAAATTTAAGCCGAACT